CCCCCCCCCCCCCCCCCACCAGTTCTCCCTTCATCCCCCTGACAGCAGACAGACAGGATGATGGAAGGACTGTGAAAGACCCTTGGCGGAGGTGTGGATGACAGGAGAGGCTTTGAGGGCAGCTCATATTTTCCTCTCCGCAACAGACTGTCGACACCAGGCTGGCTTATCCACTCGTTAAATTGATTTTACAATCTTTCTTCCTCCTTTCCCTTTCCCTCCCTCCCTCCTCTCCTCGATCCCTCGCTCCATTTGTGACCTCGGTTTTTCTCCTCCCTCTCTTGAGTTCACCTGGCAAACTTGTTGATGCGGGGGGGGGGGGGGGTGGGCGGAGGGGGGGGGGGGGCTCCAAAAGTTAGCCACCAACAGGTGCATTTGTTTGGGCTGGCAGATTTCGAACTCGAGGCTATCCTGGCTTCTCCAGAGGGAGGGAGCAAGGTGGATAGGTTAGAGCTGGTCTCTTTTGTTTTTTGGGGGGTACTTTGGAAATGACCAGTCACTCAGTCGGACTTAAACCTGAACACAGGTGCACCGTTTTTTGCCTGCCTCTCCTAAAATATAGCCCCACCACCGAGCCGCGGAATAGGCACTCTGCACATGCTCGGGGAAACCTTTGGCCTCGTGTTTTTATTTTTTTTCTGCATTTCTGAGCGTCATTTTGACCTCCGCTGGACAAGCGTAGCTGTGTTTTCACACGCTACGTGTTTTCCTTGAAGAGGAAAAAAAAAGGGAAACTGACTCAGAGACCTCCTGGATTTTTGGGATCTGGTGTGGAAGTGGGGAGATCCCAAAAATCTATTATGTTTGTGTAAAATTCTAATCTTGTGGTTAAGGATAAAATTGCTGAACTTCCTCAAGGTGTTAGAAGCAAGGATGGTTTGGTTTTCAAGCTCCTTTGCAACATGTATTTTTCCAAAAGCAAACTTTGCAGAAGGTTAACAATAAAATAATAATAATAATAATAATAATAATAATAATAATAATAATAATAATAATAATAATAATAATAATAATAATAATTGGTGTGAGGTTTGCTAGATTCCTGACAGGTTATGAAATCTTACTTCCATGGATTCCTCCAAATTTTGGAAGGGGGGAGAATTGGATTTTGAGCATTGCAGATTTCCTGAATTAATTCTAGCTAGTCAAATGAAGTGACCGAAATAAATTTCTCCGGTAATGGTTGGTTAACAGCTCTCTCGGCCCGGCTGGATTCTCGACCCGAAAATGACTGAGGAGGGAAAACCTCGATCCTTTTGTCTTCGATCAGCCGTGCCTTTGCTTGGGCACGTTGTTGTTGTCTTCACAGGCGGTAAAAGGTGTCTCGATCCTTCTCCCCGCACCCCCTGATTCGTTAAAACAAAAACAAAAAAAGCCTGTTGAAAACTGTCTTTTTTTAAAAAAAAAAATCTGCTTTATTTTCGGACCGGGCTGTAGAGCGAAAAGGCGGGCTGAGGTCAGTGGGTACCACATGCCATTATAGCCGCCATACAAAGCGATATGGAGACAATGCATCCTTTGCACAAAGCGGGTGAGCCGTGTCACAATTACGGGAAATAATCCCAATTTCCTTTGAAGGCTGGAAGAGGGAGAAATCCAGGCGGTGTCCGAATTGAGGCCCTTCTCCCTTTTAAGACGTGGTTGTGAGGTGTCTCCTTTCTCGTCCAGTTTGTGGTTTCTGTCCTTTTTTGGTGGGGGGAGGGGACGGTCTTGGCATTTTGTGGCTCCCACCTTCTGGGCCTAAGAATGCCTGTGGTTTGCTGGAGGGAATGTCTCGATTGATATTTCAATTTTTCTCACCCACCAGCCCGTTCGCCAAAAATCAGCCCGCGATCTGAAACTTCCCCTTCCTCCCCGTTTTTCTCCCCTGTCCCATGACAGATTCACACCTACGACGCTATCCAACCGGATTCTTCAACCATCCTGAGCTGTCACAGCCTCTACGAAGGCCAATGTTTAATGTCGTGGGTGAGAGGTGAGAATGTGGGTAGCTCAGGGTTGAACTGCGGGGCGCTTGCTACTCTCTGAGCTTGGTGGTTTCAGGACCCAGCTAGGTAACATCATCAGTGCTAGAAGGGAGTGTGGTTAATGGAGAAGAGGAGGGGGGAAGGGGGAGGAGGAGAACGACTGTGGCATCCTTGGGGCCTGGTGGTTTTTCTCGCAGACGTTTCATGACCAAGCTAGGTAACCTTATCAGTGCTAGAAGGGAGTGGGGTTTGCCGAATGGAGGAGAAGGGGGAGGAAGAGAAGGCGGAGAGGAGGAAGAGGGTTGTGGGGCCCTTGGTACTCTCTGAGCTGGGTGGTTTTTTTTCACAGATGTTTCATGACCAAACTAGGTAATATCATCACTGCACCGTGTAATGCAAGGAATGGAATGATGTTGCGTAGTATGGTTGTAAAACGCCTGTGAGAAAAGCAGCAAGCTCACAGGGTAGCAAGGAGCTTCCTTAACATATGACACCTGCTGGCTCGTCGCGATCCCCAAGGGATACTTTCAGGAGAGGTGATAAAGTGAACCTCCACCTGCTGAGGCAGTCTACCTCCAAACACCAGATTGCAGGGCTAAGAATAACCAGAAAGCTGTCACTGCTTCACTACAATAATTTAGAAGACCCTCAAATTATTTTGCTTCCCACTGGATTAAGAGCGAGGGATCTGTAACCTTCCAGATGTTGACAGAAGGCGATCCATAGCTTTCCGGATGTTGACGGAAGGAGATCCGTAGCTTTCCGGATATTGACGGAAGGCGATCCGTAGCTTTCCGGATATTGACGGAAGGCGATCCGTAGCTTTCCAGATGTTGACGGAAGGAGATCTATAGCTTTCCAGATGTTGACATAAGGCAATCTATAGCTTTCCGGATGTTTACAGAAGGAGATCCGTAGCTTTCCAGATGTTGACGGAAGGAGATCTATAGCTTTCCGGATGTTGCCGGAAGGGGATCTATAGCTTTCCGGATGTTGCCAGAAGGCGATCTATAGCTTTCTGGATGTTGACGGAAGGAGATCTATAGATTTCCGGATGTTGACGGAAAGTGATCTATAGCTTTCCGGATGTTGCCGGAAGGAGATCCGCAGCTTTCCGCATGTTGCCGGAAGGAGATCCATAGCTTTCCAGATGTTGATGAAAGGAAGTCTTCAGCTTTCCAGATGTTGATGAAAGGAGATCTTCAGCTTTCCAGATGTTGATGGAGGGCAGATCCCTTTTGTCTCTTGTTGACAGTTTCCTTGCCGGTCACCTCCCTTCAAAAGCTATGTAGGATTACAGGATCTATCATCCCCAAATGGGAATTGTAGTCCCTTTGGGAAATGGCAGCCCTCATTTTTAACGGTCAACTTGCTATCAACTCTTGTTCAATCAAACGGCAGAATATTTGAATATAGATTTTTTTTTTTGCGTGCCTCTTCCAAGGAATCCAAACAATTGTGTTCTTTGGAGCGATGAAACCACCGTGAATATCTGTGCACAGGCCACAGGTTTAATGTACATGAGAACCTGTACATCATCCAAAATTAAGGGCGGGACCAGAACGTAGAATCTGGGCTCCACTACAGTAGATCCTATTTAAGGCCTACACAATTACAAAAAAAAGGCCTTAAAAATTGCACAACAACAAACACACAAAAGCCGCAAAGACGCCTTGGTTAACACCCTGCAGGCTCAAAACTTTGCGGTTTTGTGAAAAAGCAGCTAGAAAAAAAATAACTTTATAAAAGCACCATGTTTACTAGTAGTCCTCGATTTACAACGGTTCCTTTTGCGACAGTTCAAAGTTACTACGGCACTAAGAGAAAAGGGACTGACGACTGTGATTCACACTTAATGACAGTTGCAGCATCACCATCATCATGGGATGCTTAGCAACTGACTCATAGTTACAACGGTCGCAGTGCTCCACAGTCATACGATCCCCTTTTGCGACCTTCTGACAAGCGAACTCCATGGGGAAGATGGATTCACTTAACGACTGTGCCGCTAACTGAACGACTGCAGTGATTCACTTCACGATGGCAGCAAAAGAGGTCATAAAACGAGGCAAAGTTCACTTAACAAATTGCGGTTATAAGTTGAGGACTTTAGTAAACCTCAGGAGGAAGCAGCATGTAAGTATAGAATAAAGCATTAAAAAAAGCGGGGAGAAAAAAGTCGCAATATGGTAGACAAAAGACATAGCACAACAGGCAGTCCTCAATTTATAACCGTATGTTTAGTGGTCGTCCAAAGTTATGTCACCGAAAAAAGGGATTTACAACTGGTCCTCACACTTACAACGGTTGCAGCATCTTGGGGGCCGGGTCACGTGATCACCATTCCTGACCTTCCCAGCTGACTTCCAACATGCAGAATTAATGGAGGAAGCGAGATTCGCTTAATGATCGCCTGATTCTCTTCACAACGGCAGAGATTCAGTTACTGTGGTAAAAACAGGTCAAATAAAGGTGTGACTCACTTGAGACAACTTGTTTAACAATGGCAATATGGTAATAAATCAAGGATTGTGTGTGTGTGTGTGTGTGTGTGTGTATTTGTTTTCAAGCTTTCTTAAGTGTGCATATATATATGTATATGTATATGTGTGTGTGTGTGTATATATATATATATATATATATATATACACACACACACACACACACACACACACGCACACATACACACGCACACATACACACGCACACACACATACACATATATACAAATATATCAGTTCGATACCCGTGCTTCGCTACAAAACTATGTGGTTGGGCTTAGTTTAGGGGGAAGAAAATAAGAGGAAAAATTCTGCCTCTGCCTGCCAGCATCTGTCGTTATTCATCTAGCTAGCGTCCTGTCAGTGTGTGAGAGAGTTGAGGGCTGTTTGGAAAGTGAAACAGTATTTGCTGTAGGAGCAAGAAGGAGACAGCAAGGAGCCTGGGCATGGCTTAGCTCAACTGTTCTGTACTAAAGCTGCTTGGTGGTGCTCTGAAACTGAAACTCCTCTGCTTGTGTTTTGCCTTTGGAACAGATTTCTTTCCAGGTGAGGAAGGGGAGTAGAACTCCTTAGCATCAGAGCATGTCAATAATAATAATAATAATAATAATAGGAAATACTCTAAATGCTCTGATGAACATTTCGGAAAAAAACTTTCTTTACGAGCCCCTAAAAGACAAGAAATATACATGACAAATTTCAAGTTTGTAGGCTTTACAGTTCTGGAGATTTTGTGATGACGCATGAGTGGTATTTTACTTTTATATAGAGAGATATATCTCTCTATATAAAAGCAAAATACCACTCATGCGTGTATGTGTATATATCTTATATATTATACACATACACAGATATATGTGTATATGTGTGTGTGTCTCTGTGTGTGTGTATGTATGGTATTCAGTTTTGTTCAGGTATTTTCCCACGTCATTGTAGTTGTGCTTTTAAAGTTGGAGCAACGTTTCAGTAGAATCTCATCTGCCATAATCAGGCTTCTGTATTGGGTTCGTCTGTGAGTCAAACTTTCACAGATGAACCCAATACAGAAGCCTGATGATGGCAGATGAGATTCTGCCGAAACGTTGCTACAACTTTAAAAGCACAACTACAATGACGTGGGAAAATACCCGAACAAAGCTGAATACCATACATGTAAGTACCCACGAAAACTTAAGAAAACATATATTTTCTTAATACACACACACACACACACACACACACACACACACACACACACACATATATGTATATATATATGTAGGTCTTGGCGTGTTTGGGTCTTTTCCCATGTAAGATCTTACACGGGAAAAGACCCAAACATGCCAAGACGGGCATACCTGTACCCGTGAAAATCTATGAAAACAAATATAAATATTTATACACACACACACACACACATATATATTACACACATATACATATATGTACATATATACACACACATATACATGTATACATACACACTATTTGTGTGCAAATCTGAGATATTAATAATATAAGGTAGGACATATATGTCATACAGTATAAAAATTCTGAATTCCAAGTGAAAGGGATGAGAACATATGTGGAAGTAGCATGTTTAAGGACATGCAAAACTCTGGGCCAAAAAAACACCTCTGTCATTATGAGATGTACCTACAGATAATCCTCATCTTATGACCACAATTGAGCCCAACATTTCCATTGCTAAGTGAGACATTTGTCAAGCGATTTTTTTTCCCCCTAGTTTGCCACCTGTCTTGCCAGAGTTGTTAAATGAATCAAGATAGCGACTAAGTTGCTAAGTGAATCTGGCTTCCCCGTTGACCTGGCTTATCACAAAAGGGGTCTCTGCAACCGTCATAAATAGGAATCAGTTGTTGCCAAGCATCTGAATATTGATCAGATGGCAATGGGGATGCTTCAACGGTCGTTAAGTGTGAAAAATGGTCAAAAGTCCCTTTTTTTCCATGCCAGTGTAACTTTGAACAGTCACTAAATGAATTGTTGCCAAGTTGAGGGCTACCTGTATGTTTACACCACGCAATACTGTTGCCAAGTCTGGATTTGCTGACTTGAACAGTGTGTGTAGCCTGTTGTGATGCACTACAATTCTAGCGACACTAAAGTAGTAACTTTGCTCCTCAATTCCGGGCAGTCATAAACTTTGGCTGATATTCTCCTTTTTTTAAAAAAAAGAGTCCTGGAAATAGTTTGACTCCCCTAAAGGTAGGAACGCAGCATTGTTTACATTCCGTGTAAGGAACTTTAAGTTGCTAGTCCTCATGGAGGTAAAGTTGCACTTTTCCCATAGGCCTTGCAAAAATTCAGAGATAGAATGCCGAAGAGTCAGATTCCAGCTATTTTAAAAAAGCTCTCTTCATATATGCAACCCCACCCCCCACAAAAAAAAAATCCAAAAAAAGTGGTTCATGGCCGAATGCATAAATTGCATTTTGATGGAGGCTGGATAAAAATGTTTTTTTAAACTTTGAACAGTCACTAAACGAATGTTAGTTAAGTCAGAG